GTACACGTTGTTTCGCGGCACGAATGTGTGCAATTTTGTCGCCATAACGTCTACAGTATGAAGTATACCATACTGTTAATTTTGCATATTAAATAACAAGAACAAAATTCCCTAATATGCGTGTCAACGCATTCGAACAGTTACTGCAAGGATAACGCATTCAAATGTCGACCTGGGTTAAGTAAAAAAAAATCAACGAAACCCTTCGATTTTAGACTGTAACGATTCTCAGACTTCTTAACCTATGTAGACTAAAACCGAAAATCCGGGAGCAAATAACATTAAGAAGCTCGCATTAACGATCGTTTAAAGTCTCTACATCTGCGTAGGTACCTACGTTATATACTACCGTCCAATGTGAAATTTAAAACTGGTAAAAAAATATTTTATCATTTTACATACATGCACTATACTATAAAATATAGGTAGAAAATATGTAATATACTAATATATAATGCAGTACCTACAATAATTATATTTAATTTAGATGAATTTTATATTTTCATGAAACAAACATATTTTTTTTTATTTATTAAAATAATTTAACATTTTGACGACTGTAAGAAAAATATGATTATTATTTGTGAGCCCAAAATCCATTTTTCAAATACAGCTATCACCTAATGTTTAGAACTTAAATAATTTCCACTACCGACAAAACAGAAACCTCTATACTAGTTTATTTCAAGTTCCCGCTCCACTATTCACTCTGTCATACACGAACAGACTATTACACGCTGTGGAAATTTATTGGTTTTTAATCGATCCTGGGTCAATAATCGTGACGCGTAGTTCATGGAATACTAACAGAAGCGATGAAAATCACAGAGGCGTAGTAAAACATTTCGATTTGCTATAATGTACAGCGAGAGTAGGTTTCAAAAAACTAGTTTTTAACGTTTAAAACGTTCAGCAATTATACGCAGTATTTTGAAAATAACTCCATCCTTAATGACATAATTACAGAGAATATCGATTTCTATAAAAACATAAAATTAAAAACCAACAAAACATTTTTATACCGGATTATTTCCTAAAACATTTTTTTTATGCGCACAATTCTATACTAAAATACATTCATAGATGAAATAAATATTTATATACGTAAATGGATAATAAAGAAACAACAAGAGTAAAGTGCGCTAAATATTCACAGACAAATAATTTTTTCGTGTGAATTTTAACAAACCCTTAGGATCTAAATAACAGGACAATAATATTTTACTCAAGTTCAACTCCCCTACCTCATTATCACATCGAAATTAAAATGTTTTAAATACACACATACAGTATATAGAAACCTACTTGTTTTTTACGAAACTGTCAAAATCGTTTCGATATAGATCAATATGTACTGTTACAAGTACACGTGGTTAAATTATAAACACTTGACAAACCACCGATTTAGTTTCAACTGAGATTTGTTGTAGGTACTTATGCAGCGATATTTCTTATTATAATTTTTTTATACCACACAACATTTAAAACATTGTGTACTTGCCATAATATGCAACGACGTGAACCTACAACTGTATGGATACCTATAACTAACCGTTAATCTGTGTTGAATCTTAAATATCTTATAAGTATGCAACATTTATAAATACCAACCAACGCGCGTCATGTACCTATAAAGACACGCATATAGCACAACTCAGTGCTTACGCCGGAATGTGAATATTTACTGCACGAGCCAAGACTGTTTTTTACGAACACGCTCTTTATATTATAATAATAAACAATAACACACAAGGTGCACCTCTATTATTTAAGTAGGTTTAATAACGCACAACAATATATTATTACACAAGCGTCTCTTAATTTAATGTTTATGTAAAATATAATAAAATATTGTTTATTGCGGCGCCACATAGTATTTTTTCTAAGAGCTCCGATACTTCAAAACTGAAAGTAGACAATATTAAATATTATTGGTAGGTACTCGTATTAATCACTGTATAAATATTTCATCTCCACGTAAGTTTTCTATGAAAATTAAAAAATTAAAAACGCTACATAATATTTAATTGAATCAAATCCGGTATCATCAATACCGTCTAATTTCAATTTAACGAATAACTTGTTTTTCAGGACGTGCATTTTGAACGAACATAGCAATAATTGCGCGCGTTGCGTACTTGCTGTAATGAAATCGTTTAAATAAAAATGTTTAAGATTTATTCAAAATCGATAAAATAATAAAATCATCGTTAAAATGGATGAATTTCAAAAAATATACGTATTATATTGCACTGAATTTAAGCTTGTTTAATTGTCAAAAAATAAAAATAAATTGTACACTTGAAAACAAAACATTATTATTGTTTAAAACTAACATTTCGATTATTAAAAAAAAAAAAAAAAAAAAATGAACAATAGCCTACAGTGTTGCACTACTCTTATATATGTATTTACAGATTAAGTACATCCATTAAAATAATTTACGCTATATATGCGTGTATTATTATATATATACGCATATGCAAACGTATTTATATATTATCGTAAACACACTATGCTAAAAACTGCATACACTAGACAGAGAAAAAAAGTCAACGTATCATTATTATATATAAGTAATAAATATAGTTAAAAAATATTAGTCTTAGCAGATCGACTTTTCACACATTATATTATAATTTATAATATATATAAATATTTATATATATGTATAAATATATTCATTAATGCTATTTACGTATTTGTCTTTCATTTTATAACTTTCACTTAGCGTTACTGTTTAAATTGGTGTAAAACAACAAAATAAATTATTTTTTTAACAATAATGACGATATAAGAATATTAATATCATATTTCCATGTATTATAATCTGACAACAAAATATTTTTGCTGAAAATATTTTATTTTTAATAATTTTAGGAATTCTATGTCGTTTCAATAAACTTTTGACAGTCGAATAGTACAATTTAAAAAACCTACCCTGAATCTATAATTACGTATATATGTGGATATAAACAAAAATCGTTTCCAAAGTATGTTTCAGATGACCTTAAAAATATAATATGCATAAACGCTTATTAGGTACCTAAATATTATGTTAAATTACAATATTTTAATACGTATATAATTTTTAAAATTACTCAATCAATCTAAATAATAGTCTAAACGCTCGCGATAAACGTCTTAATATCTATAGAAGCTGTTTACAAATTTTGAATCTTGGATAGGCCTAAAATATATGTTTTAGATTGTCGGAATTACGACTGATGTATATAATAGGCGTAATAAAAAAAAAAATATAAATAGGTATAGAGATATATCATACAAATGAAAACAAAACAAAATAATAATAATATTAGGTAATAATAATAATAAAAAAAAACTTCAGTATACAAAAAAATAATTAAATATATATTAATTAAATAGTTTATTATTATGTTTAATCGTAAGAAAGATTGTAAAAATAAATTAATATTAATAAAGCATTAATCTATATATATATTTACAAGAGTTGGGAGAAAATACTTTACTCGGTAAACATAAGGATGTATTCGGTCATTTTCTTTTATGTATTTATATCGTTAAATAAACCCTACTCGATGAAAAATATAAACAAACAAATTATATTATAATATATTACGCGCTTAATGATAGAAATAAAGAAACAATATTTATCTAGGAATATGAACATAAAAAAGGACGAGCTAAACGATATTATCGTGGTAAATGTAATAAAAACAAAAAAAAAATATTGATCACAACGTACGGGGGAAGAAAAATGATAAAATAAAAACATAATAGATGTGAACGAAAACGTCGGTGACAAAAACGTATACAAACTTTAACCAGAAGAAATCGGCGAAGACGTAACTACGCCGTTCGGAAACTTAAACGAAACGAAACAAAAAATGATATCGAACAGGAAAAAATAAAAATGAAAGTCGTACACGGTTTACGCACCCGAATTAAACATAACAAATAAATATAAATTAATAAAAAATCCTATCATTACAAACGAAACAATATCATATCATATAGGTACATAATATAATATAATATTATTATAATAATAATACTTGCGAAGTAGGAACAACGTCGGTCGTCGTTTGGAAACACCTCGGAATAATGTATCAAAAAAACAAGCCCCGATATGGTATACGCGAATCCGGAACGAAGCATACCTGTACCCGTCGTCGCGCGATCTATAAACACCACCGGGAGCGGACGAAAGAAATGAGAATAATCTTCTTCACCGCCATTGTCGTAACAATAACTTAATGTATCTAATGTGGAGGGAGCGTAGGAATGAAAACCTATCTATTGTATGAGGTGTAGGGTACAGGTAAAAACACTGAGAAATCGACAAACCACCAGTATAATATTGTGTGGGTCCGACCAGCGATTCCGCACAGGTTACCGGATACAAGGCATTTTACGTATGATTTACGAACGGAATTTTTATACTTTTGTGGGCGCGAAATGCGTACATATAATATAAATAATATTATCAAAATATATACCAAACAATAATATTAGTCGTAAAACGAAGGATAAAAACGAAAAAAATGAGTAATAAACATCATATCATATTATTATCATTATAGTTTATAGAATACATATTATAGAGGCCGCGCCAGGCAATAGCCGCGATATTGATTATTAATTATATTAACAATACTAATAGCGGAATCGTAGACCTTCGGCGGAGGGAAGTGATTTTTATTTTCTCGAACCGTCAGTATTTTTTTCATATAATATGTTTACGGTACGAGTAAAACACAGACAGAGAAATGCGGACCTACGAATGTGAAACTCGTGTCGTGTTTCTTGTGTTGAAACATTTATCAAGAAAAATATTAACTTGTCAAAATGTTTCTTATTAGTAAAATTTTTTTTTTCCGTTTTTCTTTTTCTAGTCCTTAATATTAAAATTATAATTAGATATTATTTAAATTAACTCTCTATGAATGTAATATAATATATAATATGTATAAATATTATGTAAGAATAGTTTGTATATAAATAAATATATATAATATAATATATATTTATAAATTATTTACGTATTTTTCGAATCGAAAGAGAAATTCTATACAACGTTATTATAAAAACAATAACAATAATAATCATGCGACATGTAATTATAATTAATCATTATTATTATCATTACTCTATTACTGTGCGCGAAACGTTGTCGCTGCTCGCTTGCTGCGTTTACGTTTTAGCCTTGAGCATGTCGGCGGATCCCTTGTCCAGGCCGCCCATCTGCAATTTGTGCTGCTGCTGTTCATGAGACATCTGATGGTGCGACATTTGCTGCTGCTGCTGTTGTTGCTGCTGTTGCTGTTGCTGTTGCTGTTGGTGCATACCACCGCCACCGCCTACTACGTCCATTTTCGTGTGATCTTGCTTTTTGGCCTGTTCGTCCCGTTCCCGGCGGGCCTGCTCGTTGATCTCCTTGACGGCCCGCAACTCCTTCTTGAGTTTCATACGCCTGTTCTGGAACCAAATCTTGATCTGTCGCTCGGTCAAGCATAGGGCATGCGCAATCTCGATCCTCCGCCTCCGGGTCAGGTAGTGATTGAAATGAAATTCCTTTTCCAGCTCCAGTGTCTGGAATCTGGTGTACGTCTGACGACCGCGACGACGCGGGCATCCGTTCGGACCTGTGGACAAAAAAAAAATCAAATCGACGCTCGTTAAACGTTCTATAAAGTTGTTGTGTGCTTATAGGTACATTATACAGAACGATATTATCTTATGGTTGTGACACCATCTCAAGCAATCCTTTTAGGATACTGAATAGAAAGTGGCGCAAAGGTTTAAAATTTAACGCCGTCATTCAGAAGAAAAAAAATTTAGGCTAATCAATTAATAAAGTGTCACTATTGCTGTTTTTTTATAGTATATATCAAGTCATATCACATCATATAACTGCACACATGGTTACTGTTAGTAATATATGTTAACAACACAAGACGATTGATTGCGAGTTAGAATGTAGGCGCGACAATAGTATATACGGTGTGGAATTCGAGTGCCGAAGTATTAAGTCCTCGTGATAAATCACCCAGTATGAATAACACCGAAACACTATAAAAGCTGCGCCAAGTCTGTATCAAATCGCGGCTTTCTGTCCACTTCACCGAGCCACCCGACATTTTTGCTGTTTTAAGTAGAAAAAAATTAACTTAGTTTTTTTGAACTTAACCGTAATATTATAAGTATATAACACAACTACACTCTACCTATTAAAAATATGGAGGTGCACATAATAATAAGTTATACCATTAAATTGTGTTCAAAATCGAAATTAAATTAGCTTTCTTGATAAAAAAAAAAAAACAGATACAAAAAATGGCGTGACGAAATAGTTAACTAGCGAAACTTTAGATGAACACTGCTGTCCGATTGGATCACATATGTATCTTTAAAGTGACTATAAGGTACATACATTAATAATTATCAATTTTCACCGAAAATGGTGTAAATCTATTGTAATTACGCCCAAATACATGCGAATTCATTGAGGGTTTGAACACCAAACAACGATCCGCCGGTCTTTTGTAAAACAATATTACGTACGATTAATCTACAGACTTCGAACATTAAGCACGAATACTACTCGTTTAAACTAGAGATTATAGAAATATTGGTACACAATAATATAATTATACATAATTCGTAACTATATATAGGTTCTTTCCGGAGAATCGGAAAAACAGTATTAATAAAAATCCGAAAGGGGTTATAAATTGTTGTTTTGTATAAGGTATTATTGTTTAGGCTATAATATGTTTTCATTTATTTATATGGATATTTTTTTATGTGGTTTATGCGCGATTGACTGGTAATACCTAATATTATACACAAAGTTATATAAAATCCCTATATATCTGTCAGTTGCAGTACTCACTACCCATATATAGTAGCGTGTGTGAATCAGCAGGATGTTAAATTTACGGTTTAACAATTAATAAACGAGCGATAGTAATACAATAACACACAACCGTTTCATTATAATGACCTATTTATACACATTTATTAGCTATTGTTTCACGATAGACTCGAATAAGACGCATTAAATATAAGTGATCAAAAACTGTATAGCGACGTCACCCTGTCGGTGGCCTAATAAATGCGAGATCGATATGGACCAGGAGGACTTCAATGCCGTCAACCCGCAGGTGGCGATACACCATTTAAGACCCTAATATTTGTTCGGGGCCCGACGAAGTAGTAAAATGTTTGACACGAGAGGTTCGGTCGAGCGCAGACATTGATGAGAAAATAACGGAGAATTTTATCCAAGGAACTGTGTCGTTTAAATACCAATTAAAAATCAAAAAATTAACTTTGAGTAATAAGAAGTCACACGCGTTCTGATGCGCAAATATATGAGTTAAGCCTTCGAGTGGACGAAGGTAAAGGAGTTTTTATACGTAACTATTAAATTTCGTAAAATAATATGAACTGTGTAAAATATAGAAAGAATGGCCAGTTTCTTATTGCACTTGTGCGTACAAATGCGATTTTCCAACATTACAATACTTCATAATGTAAGATATAGGTACGAGTGTATAAGAAATTCGTTATGTTACATAATATGCGTGTTGAGGAATTCGCGAAAGGTGTACGACGGCGGCAATATTAAAACACGCAGCGGCTGTATCCCTGCCACTGCCGCCGAGGATGGCTGTACTGGGAATTAACCGTACGCTCTTTAATGGCGCCACTACCAAGGGCGGAGACTGCAGCGATTGCCATGGTTACAGCGGGTAGACCACCGAGAGGGTCCTATTTCTCTCTCTCTCTCACCCACCCACTCGTTCTCTCTCACTCTCTTATTTTCTCTCGCTTTTATTCTCATCTCGGTCGCCTCTCGCACGAAAGTATTTTCGTACACGACGACGACCGCCGCCACCGCCGTTGCCGAGTCTTTCGAGACGAACTGAGGTCTGCTTTTTGTCCACTTCCAAATTAGCGTATAGGTACTTGTTTATAATAAAGTGCTTAAATAATAATTTTATTATTATTATTACCTATATCATTATTGTGGGAAACGACAAGTAAATCAGTATATTAGAGATCGTCAAATACAATTTAGCGGGTGTTATAATCCCGATCGACCGTGGACGACACCACTTAATGCCCGATAAAATATAGTCACACGCAGCTATACAACTCTATATAAGTATCTAGTAATGTATAAAACACGATTTTGTACATCATTACACGCGTGTTATGTATACGCCAGCCCTATTGTGCATTTAATTTTATTTTGATTCCATTTCATCATTATTTATGCACTGCGACTTGTTTTGCGTTTTCAGTGAGTACCGGAATTATATTTTTTAACCTACTGCACCGCAATCGTCATCGTGTGGGCATTATAAAATGTCCTTTTGCGATTATTTCCAGCCCAGTCGGCCAATTAAACGAGTACAAAAATTCCATTTAAAATGCATTTTACCATTATATATACATGTTGTCCCGCACGCGTTATAATATAAACAGACATGCGTAAAAATAAATGTATAATACGCTCCGAATCATAAACGCGATTAAATTATATGTAGGTACTTATATACGTTTGGTCGTTGTATAATATTATTTTATCGCAGTTACATTTTCGACGCCCGAGCACGTTTTAAGAATATATTAAAAATGTTTAATATATTATTTATCGACGACGCACGCGGGTTACTGTTTAAATGAAAAACTTCCGTGACTATAACAGTATAGCATGACATAGTCCATTTTGCTGTGGCAATACAGAAAAATGAGAAAATATACATAAAAACTACTTTTGATAAGTAATTCCTATCTTATTTATATAAATACAACGATTTATTATCAAATTTTCTGTCTTTAAGAAGATGCCTCAACCATAAGCGCAGTTGACTCCGAAGCAGTCTCCACGTGTATAGTCTTACAAACAAACAACAAAAGAGTCAAGCAGAGCCAATTTTGTGTTATTAAAACGTATAAATATGAGATTTAATTGACAAAAACATAATTTTTGTTTAAACGTAAATTTATTTTAAAATGCACATAGCTCGCTCAAACATTGAAAGATATGGTAAAAACATATAGATACAAATCTTTTAAATCACCTAAAGCTTACCTAACCTTTAATATTATAAAAATAGAATAGTAATTGGCTTAAAATATTCTCAATTTGAAAACTTTTTAAACGGATTAGCTTTTGTTTTTAGGAATATTACTACTTATTCATACAGTCATAAATGTCACACGATCCAGCACGTATTAAAACCATATTTCCGTTTCGAGGGCATCTCCCAGAAAAATTATTTTATGAGCATACATAAAATAATATTTTGTCACTAATGAATATTAAATAATTTAGGGACAGTCGTATTTATATAAAAAAAATACCATAAACACATATAATGATAATTATCTTACCTACAGCACAATGAATAAACCGCAGAACAAGTTTTGCAAAATTTATTATTAAATTATACTATATTTTTCATAAATGAAAAAATATACTATGTTTTCCTAGATAATTCTGATACGATAATTTCAATTTACAGTCGCCGTCGTAATTTTTTTAGATGTAGTAGGCACTTTTTTTACAAACTATATTATAACAGTATGAAACAGTTGAATTAATTCAAAATAAATCGAGACGTAAAACTACATGATTTCCCCAGCATGCCGTCTCATCAGGCAAAAAGAAACAACAACACAATCACGGACATCCAATAAAGTTCAAATCTTTATAACGTATAACCTCTGTTTGAGTATTTGGTCAATTAGTTATGATATTTTATATACTCGTTTATTTATAAAACATACAGATTTCAACAAAACTAAATGATATTCTAGTATTTATAATATATATATTGTCCACAGAAAATACGACCTTATAAATTTATAATAATATATATTATGTACGAACAGAGTACATTATTATTATGACGCACGCAATACGAGTATATGTGTGTAGTTTGGTCGGTTCGACCGATTTAAACGAAAAACAAAAGTCGGACAACTTCTGTCGTCAGATTATTTTAACGTTCCTATAAAATATACTAACAGCATTAGACTACTGTACATTATGTAAATAGTATAATATTTATATCATATTATTATTCCCCCATCCACCCTCGATCATTGCATATAGTTAACACGCATGACGCGGTGCGTACCGAACGAAACAAGAACTTTATTTACATGATAAAGTTTTTTTTTTTCGTAGGTTTTCTATGTGTATACATGATTATAATAACAACATATGTATAAAAACGCGCTGAAGGACTTCAGCGAAGGGTCGTAAAACGATAAACACAGTGAATTGGGTTGATCAAAGATTTAGAACGACGGAAAGATAACAATCTACGTCCGAAATAAAATTTAAACAATCCGCGCGCAAAGAACCAAACTACATTTTTGATAATTTTATAATAATAGTAATAATATACAAAGTCATAAAATGTAATAACGTTTCAACTCGACGAAGAAAGTGAACATACCGACGTCGGTAGTTCGGATAGGATTTATGAAGCGGATTTTATTACATATTATCTTACGTAGTGCTGTATGACTAGCGACAATCGTATTTTAAACGGCTGTCGTGCAACCAGTCATATTTTGAGATGATAGTGCGTATTGCATAACGACGTACGGATGTAAATTG